TAAAGTGAAGAAAAAGAATTGAACCAGAGGCCTGGAAACATGGAACAGACTGATGGATCTCAGAGGGGCAGGGGGAGAGGATGGAAAGAGATTAACCAATGAATTTACATGCATATACGCATAACCCATGGACACAGAGAACAGCGTGGTGAGGGCCTAGGAAAAACAGGAAGGCAACCAGGTGGAGAAGGGTTAAGGAAGAATAAAATAGGGGGGAGGGCATCTGTAATACTCTCAACAATAAAGATTTTTTTAAAAAAATGTAGAGAGCAGCTATGAATTTCACATAGAGTCTGGGCAGGAATCCTCTAGTTCCTCATGAGCTGTCCATGGTCCCCCTTGAGTCTCAGGTGCGCACTGAGGGCCTGAAGCCCTCCAGGGGGAACAGGGCATTGCAGAGTGGTGCCCACAGGTTGGAACACTTCTCAGTACAGCAGTGTCCAGTGGAATCATGCTCTGGGGAAGGTCCGTTCCCCCTCCTTGGACAGAGCGAATGTGTCATAGAGACCTCAGAGTGACACTGGAGGGTCAGGCTCTGTCCAGAGACCACAATGGGGCCCTGATGGGTCGGGGGAGGGGGGACTTCCCAGACTCACCAGAGGAGAACAGATGTGAATTACAGAGACTGCTTCTCCCATAACCCTCTTCTCCTAGCCTGGCCCGCAGGTCTCACTCTCTCTCTCTCCAGATCTCTGGCCCAAAAGTCCTTGTGCTCCCCTCACCCTCTCACATGGGGCTCCACTCAAATTAATGACTCTAATAACACCCCAGTCTTTGGTGCCTGAATCAATGGCAGGGACAATAATGGGACCACCTGAGACCAGGAGTTCCAGGGGGTCACTGGGGTGTGACCACACCTGAGGATTGTTCTGGTTACAGCCATAGCATCTGAATGTCTCCCTGTGGCTGGGAGTCACGAGGTCCACAGGGAAGAGGGCCTGCGGCCACCCATTGTGTTGTGTCTGTGAGTCCAGGGTCCCTTCCCCTCACCTGACACCAGGAACTCCAGAGGCTCACTGGAGAGTGACAGCAGGTAAGGGGAGGAGCTGTGTGCGCTGTAGCACCTGTAGGTGCCTCTGTGGACTGAGGTCACAGGGCCCATGGAGAACTCTGCCTGGTACTGCTGAGCTTGGTTCTTTGATCTGAGAATCAGCGGGGCTTCGGGGGCCCCCTCCTTGGAGAGAAGGAACCTGTCCCTTGAGCTCTGTGACTGACACAGCAGCATCACGTTCTCTCCTGAGGCCACCCTTGGGCTTGGACGAGGGAGTGGGAGGGCCAGTCAGGCAGGTGTCCTCGGGAGAGGGAGGGAGGGTAAGGGCTGCCTGCCCACCTGGTTCTGCCCTGAGAGTCACCAGGCCTCTCTCTGAGGACCCTCTTCTCTGTCTGTCTCTGTTTCTCTGAGTCTCCCCATCTCCCCTCCCAACCCATCTCCGTCTCTCTCCCTGGGGCCCTGCACCTTCATTCTGGCCTCACCCACCTGAGACCCCCAGCAGGTCCTGTGCAGACCCGGGTGCCTGACTGAATCCACTGGATCCTCACCTGCCACTAGGATGTCCAAGGTGTCACTGGAGGGGCCAACTACTCAAAGAAAAGGTTGTTCCTACTCTAGCATATGTACCCGCCCCCCCACTGTCAGCCGTTCAGAGTGTCCAGGGGGAAGTGGGCCTGAGAGAGCCCATCCAGGGGCTGCAGGACTGTCTGGCAGCGGGCAGAACTTGGAACTCGAGGGCGGCTTTCCCTCAGAGGTGAATATGAATGCCCCGGCCCTCTGCAACCTGAAAATTACCTAACAAACGGCAGCCGGGCCACAGACCCGGAACTTCCAAGAGAAGGCCCAAGGCCCCACAGTAGCTTGCATTGCTTCTCCTCTCCTGGCCTGGACATAAGGACTCACTGTCTTTCTCTGTGACTCGGGCCCAGGAGCCCTTGTGCTCCCCTCACCCTCTCATATGGGGCTGCACTCAAATTAATGACCCTAGAACACCCCGTATTTGTTGCCTGAATCAATGGAAGGGGCAATAATGGGCTTTACCTGAGACCAGGAGCTCCAGAGCTTCACTGGGGTGTGACCACACCTGGGGGCTGTTCCTGTAACAGCCATAGCATCTGAATGGCCCTTTATCGCTGGGGGTCACTGGGCCCACAGGGAACAGGGCCTGGAATTGCCCCCTGGGCTGTGGCTGTGAGTCCAGGGTCCAGGAGAGCCTGTGATCTCCTTCCTTAGTCAGAATGAACCTGTCAAATCCCTGCCCTGAGCCACACTGGAGGGTCACGTTCCCTCCTGAGGTCACAACAGCGCTGGGCAGTGCTGAGAGGCTGGGTTTGCGGTAGAATCCTAGGAGAGGAGGAGGCAGCGTGTTAAATGGACTCACTCTTCCCTCATGTCCCCCAGGGCTGGGCTGTGAGAGGGAGACACCCTGAGAGCAGACCCCTTTCCTGAGGGCCCAACCTGAGGCTGGGACCCCTGAGTGTCCTCTCACCTGTCACCACCAGTTCCAGGGGGTCACTGGGCTCTGACCAGCCATCAGGGCTGAGAGAGTAACAGCGAAATATCCCAACATTAAGCTCTGTCATGTGTGGGATGGAGAACTTCACCTTGTCCCCAGGCTTCAGTGGCTTCTCTCTTTTCCATGGTGCTGTGATTCCCTCTTTATCCAGACTGTACTCCTCAGCCTCTGGGGTCCCCTGACAGGAGATGGTCAGGGGCTTTCCCCGGGGGATCACAGGGCCTGGCTCAGCCCAGAGGGTGGGTTTGGGGAAGGCCCCTGGAAGGAAACCAGAGGCTGGGTTAGAAGGCATTACCCACCCCCACATTTCTAAGATGCCCAACATCCATTATCCCAGAACCACTGCTGTCCATCCCCAGATGA